GATTATTAATAAGGTTGGACTTGGTAGTCTTGGTGTTTATGGAAATATTTTGGTTGTGTTATTAGCAGGTGTTTAGCCTTTTGGAATGACTAATGAGTAAAAATGTCACTATGCTTTTCAGAAATTTAGAGAACAGATGAAACTGTAGTAACAACATTTTTTTTGGCTGATGGTTTTGGGATAGCAGTGTGGAGTGCACCCCTTGAAATAGAGCAGAAATGTTGATGTTTTAGCGAATTTTATAAAAATAAAATAGAATGAGTGGATGGCTTCAAATTATTTATGGAGGAGATAATATATTGTTAAGTGTTCCAATAGTTGCTTGGTCAGTCGAAATTTTAATATAAATTTTTGTATTCTAATTGAGCTTTATTGCTGGTTATGGCTTAAAGGTATCAAGTTAATACTCAAGCTTTGTTGTTATTTGGTTTGAGTTACGTAATTTGTTAAATTTGCAGAAGATTGTTATAGTGGTTGGGAGTTTTTTATTTTTTATTTATTATGTTTTTTGGATTTTTTTAAATGTTCTAATTTTGATCATGATATTAAAGTTGGGTTAAATCATTGTCACTTAAATTAGGCATTTTTTTCTAAATTTTTATTGTGTAGTTACTAGTTAGCACTTACTTTCCAATCTTTCCTAATGCATTCTAAATGAAAAGATTGAGTAGTTTAAATAAAATTAATAAGATTGAAATGTTTGTCTTAATTATTATATGTAAATAAGCATTTTTTTTTTAATTTTAAACAGTTATGGAGAAATATTATAAAAGAAAATCAGGGTTGGCACCTCAGCCACCTCCAATAGAGAGAGATGATGATCGAACATTGAAGCAAAGTCATTCCGACATCAACTTGGAAAATCTTCCAGCGGATCTAGGATTATGAACTCGAATCTTGGATTACCATCCTAATATTCGAGATGACATTCGTAGAGCATATTATCTTAAGGGTCCTTGTCAACCCAAGACTCATCGTTTTCCCTATGCGAGTTTTAGGAAAGCAACACGCCGTTTTAATCCTGCTTGGTTTAGTGAATATTCTAATTGGCTAGAATATAGTATAACCAAAGATGCAGCGTTTTGCCTATGTTGTTATCTTTTTAAGCCAGATATTGGAGAACAAGCAGGAGGTGAATCTTTTGTGGGTGAGGGGTTTTCAAATTGGAAGAAGAAAGAAAAATTTCAAACTCATGTTGGAGGTCCCAATAGTGCCCACAACCAAGCTTGGAGATTATGTGAAGCTTTGGTGAACCAAAAACAACACATTCAAACAGTTTTATGCAAGCAGTCGCACCAATCTAGAAATGAATATTGGACTCGTTTGACTGCATCAATTGAATGTATCCGATATCTTTTACACCAAGGACTTGCCTTTCGTGGCCACGATGAATCTGAAGATTCAAGCAATCAAGGAAACTTCCTCACACTTTTGAAATTTCATGCTCGTCACAATGAGGATGTTAGAGCCGCTTGTATTGGAAAATGCTCTTGAAAATCTGAAGTTAACATCACCTGAGATTCAAAAAGAGATTGTAAATGCCATTGCAACAAAGGTTGTCAATTTTATTATTAGAGATATCGGAGATGGATTTTTTTCTATTTTAATTGATGAGTCTCGTGATGTATCGATAAAGGAGCAAATGGCTATTGTGTTACGTTATGTGAAGAATGGAAGTGTCATTGAACGTTTTATTGGTATGGTACATGTTACCGATATAACTGCTCTCTCACTCAAGATGGCAATTGATAATGTATTTTCTACACATGGATTGAGCATTTCTAGATTGCGTGGGCAAGGTTATGATGGGGCTAGCAATATGCAATGTGAGTTCAACGGTCTCAAAACACTAATTCTAAAAGAGAATGAATTTGCTTTTTATGTTCATTGTTTTGCTCACCAACTTCAGTTGGCTCTTGTTGCTGTGGCAAAGAATCATGGCCAGATTTCCACTTTTTTTGTATTTGTTGCTAATGTGGTGAATGTAGTTGGAGCTTTGTGTAAACGTCGTGATATGCTTCGCGAGAAACAAATTGCTGAAGTTATTGATGGACTTAACAAAGGCGAGCTCACAAGTGGGCAAGGCCTAAATCAGAGTACTTCTCTTGTACGTGCAGGAGACACTCGTTGGGGCCACATTATGGTACTTTAATTAGCTTGATTACATTGTTCTCATCTGTAATTGCTGTTCTTGAGTTTATCGAAAAGGATGGATTGAAATCTAATCAAAGAGGCGAAGCATCTATTCTACTTGGGTCAATACAATCCTTTAATTTTGTATTCAATCTCCATTTGATGAAGACATTGTTGGGCATGACAAATGAATTATCCAAAGCACTACAAAGAAAAGATTAAGATATCGTGAATGCCATGGACCTTGTCAAAGTATGTAAGCAACGACTACAAATGATGAGGGATGATGGATGGGATTCTTTGCTTGATGAAGTTTCTTCCTTTTGTGAGAGACATGAGATTGATGTTCCCAACATGGATGATATGTTCATTACTCAAGGACGACGACGACGAAATGTGCAAGAAATGACAAACTTGCATTACTATCGTGTTAAGTTGTTTATTCTGTCATAGATATGCAACTTCAAAAGCTAAATAATCGTTTCAATGAGGCCAATACTGAGTTACTTCTTTGTGTGGCATGTCTATGTCCAAATGAGGCATTCTCTGCTTTTGACAAGCAAAAGATCACTCGCTTTGCTGAATACTATCCAAAAGAATTTTCTGTATCTAAGCTCGTAGAACTTGGTAGTCAACTTGAAACTTATATTCTTGATGTGCGCTCTAATATCAAGTTTGAAGGATTGAAAGGGATTTCCGCTCTTGCAAAGAAAATGGTTGAAACAAAAAAAGACAAGGTGTATCCATTGGTGTATCTACTTGTGACATTGGCATTAATCTTACCAGTCGCGACTGTCACGGTGGAGAGGGCATTTTCTGCTATGAATATTGTAAAGAATGAATTGCGTAATCGGATGGGAGATCAATTTATGAATGATAGCTTGGTTGTGTATATTGAAAAAGAAATATTTAGGGGCATAGATAATGAGGCTATCATTCAACGCTTTCAAAAGATGAAAAGCCGTCGAGGGCAATTATAATTGTATTCAATGAAATATTATCAACTAATATTTTGGATCTTATATGTGTCAAGTATTATATTTTAGTTCTTTTTATTTAAATATCATATCAACTTGTTACCTGTTTAGTTCTTTAGATAAACAAATAAATTCTTTTATGGGTATTTTCAATTCACATTATTGAAGAACATTTAGTTTCCATCTTAGTTTAAGATAAAAATAATAAAATACAATCTTGTTTGCTTTGGTTATCAAGATTCACTATGCGTTTGGAGGCTCAGAGAGTGGGTATAATTGCTTTGGAATGGCTCCTGCAGTCCTGGTTCATCCAGTATTTCACCTTGCCAGATAATTCTTTTTTTTGTCTTTTGAAAATGGTGACTTTACTCTGTTTTTTTTAAATACTAAATTAGATACTAATTTTATATTTTCTTTTGAAAATAGTGACTTTGCTCTGTATTCTTCTTCTTCTTCTTCTTTTTCTTTTTCTTTTTCTTTTTTTTTTTTTTTTTTTTTGTCATGTTTACCTTTTGATGTGAAAATTCTATTTTTGTAGTTGATTTTTTTTTTCTCCTATCAAATATACTATGCCCCTGGAATGAAATCCTGGTTTCGCCCCTGCTGCCAACGCCACCCCCTTTTCTCTCTCCACCATCCACCTCCACGGTCGTTACCCTTTCTCTCACCTTCTCACTCTCTGTATCTGCCAGTACTGCCCCTCTCTTGCCGCTGGCGAAGTTCAAGCCAAATTTTCAAACTTTATTTCTTCATCATTTTTCTACAGAAATTGTATATAAATTTTGAGTCTTGATTTGTGAATTTAATTAAGAGCAAGCATGTGAGTCTGTGTGTATAATAATTTGTATGGGTTGCGGGATCGGGTGATGAAAGGGTACCGCAAACCACCACTTCGCCGCCATTAAAGTAGGAACCAACTCCTTCAAACTCCTTATTGTTTGAACCGACCCACCACCAGCGAATTCCTTGCCATTGGTCCCTCAAGGAGCCAGTCATTTTCGGCCACGACATCCCTACCTCTACCTTAATCTTTGCCACCTCCCAACTCTGAGCCATAAATGCCCTCTCCAAACTCTAACAAATCATTCGCTCCCACCTCATATCAACTCAAACTAGCCTCATCGCCACCTCCGTGAACGAAGCCACCTCCGTGAATTTAGAGAATTTGAAGCTATTCTCCTGTACCGTGCTGGGTTTTCAGAAGAATTGGTTGTCAAAGTTTATTAATTTTAGGAATCAGTGGTTGATGTAGAATCCCTTTTGATTTAATAAAATAACCCATACTTTTGTTTTAGCAAATAATTTGTTTTTTTTGTTTTTGTTTTTGTATTTTTTGTATTTTGATGATAAAAGTCTCTTATTATTTCATTTGTATAAATAAAATGTTTTTATCAGATGTACACAAGATTTGTAAACAGGTTCTGGATTATAAAATGAGTAGTTCGAATGCTTTTGAATCCTACCACAGCTATCTATCCGGCGGCACCTGTTGTTGCTACTACTGCTTGTTATCTGCCCAGTTGGGTATGTTTCACCCTCTTATTCAAATCTCAACAATTTAATACATTGAATTTAAATTTTACTTCAATAATGATATAATAAGTGATATATAGGGTTGTAAATATTTTTTAAAAAATATATATATTTTTATTTTTTTAATATTTAATCAGCATAAAATATTTATAAAGAAAAAAATATTAAAATTTAATAAAATTAATTAATTAATTAATTTTACATGCTTTATTTCATAAATTCGATCTCAATTTTGAGTAATATTTTGTGTAATTCTTTGTTAAATATGTAAAAATAAAAAAATATTTTACCTAAAAAAAAAAAATAATATTTTATTTCCAAACAAACCGAGCATAAATTCCTTTTTCTTTTAGTCGCTATCTTTCGTGAAGCTGTGAAAGCCGACTCCAGAAGATGAAATTTATACGATCCTCCCTTAACCATTGAACTCTTTCCAGTTGAAGAGGCTGACGAGTGACGAAGTTGTAGTGATCTCCACCAACCGATATGAGAAAATAGATTTCGCAAAATTCCAAGTCACAACAAAGCAAAAGAGAAAAGGGGAAGGTGAAAGTCAATGCCTCCTCGAGGATTTTCCTTCTTTGGAGGAGGAGGGGGTGGTGATTCGAAGAGAGAGAAAGTGAAGGGTCCTCCGTCATTGCTGAAATTACAGACGGATAAAGATGTGTATAGACCTGGTGATCCAGTCCTCATCACCATTGAGATTCAAAACCCACCCAAGGATGATAATGCTGTTTGTTCTTCGCTTTTGGTTGAAAGGCTTACCTTCGAAATCAAAGGAATCCAGAAGTTGGATACTCAATGGTTCACCACCCAGAAGCCATTATCCGATTCCAAACGCAGGAGAGGTTTGTATTTTCTATTTTTCAGATCATTCATTTTCCGATTAATTTGCCATTTTATTACTTGAGATCCGTACTGTTTTGAACATATAATGTATACATTATTATTATTATTTTTGTATCTTTTGTAGTTTAATCTTTGTACATGTATTAATTTGCTACTTTAATTACACGTAAATACATGCATCTATGTATGTATATCCATCTCTCTGTTTTTTTTCCCTTGACTAATGATTCGACTTGCTTGAGATCCATGCTTGCTGTTGTTTGCGTGTGTACACAACACCAAAACAATTAAAATGACTGTAAGTTATGTTTGGAATTTGAACTTAATTTTCTCCATTTCCAATTCTAAGGCACCAATTCCGGTGTTCCCAAACCCAACAATACTGTTTTCTGTCTTTTGTAATTGAATTTATACATGTATATTATATATCACGAGGGATCTCTTTTGGAAGTAGGGATCAAAATAGGGAGTCCACTGCAAAGGAACCATTTCCTATGTGATTTATTTATTTATATTTTGTTTTTCTTTTCGGAGGGTGCGAGTTTGTTTAATCACCCACTTTACATTTTCAGTTAAAGCTTACTGAAAAGCATTGTTAATTTGCAGTCACAGGAGGAATTGCCAATTTATTTATTGACTTATTATTTAATCTTTAGTAAGAAACACGTATATACCATATATGGAAAAATAAATTACCTGCTCAAGTGGTGGGAGGATGGATATTCCTTTTATTAAGAACAAGGGAATGAGAATAAGCAAAAACATTAAGGACTTCTGAGATGTTTTGATTGATAGTTTTCCCAAGTCTGTTGTCTACGCCTCACTTCATATAACTAAGACCTTAAAACTAAGAACTTCTTTAGATAAACTAAACCAAACAGTTCTGTAACAACTTGCTAAACAACCGCTACAAGCCCAGAACTCCTGTCCCTTAATGGTGGGGGTAGATATAACCCAACTGGGCATGGTGGAAGCTATGTGGCCTATGATAAAATGATTGACTATATTGATAGCATAAGGCTTTTATTTTGGCATTAGAAGTTGCTGCATGAATTCAATTTGAAAAATTATTATCTGATATCCTTATATATTTATTTATATAATTTATTTTGTGTAGTATAACCCTTTTTCAGGTGAATATGTTTTTATGGACTGCCCAACGACATCAATAGTTTCAAATCAGATTATTTCTATTGGGGACACTAAAACATGTAAGCTCACTCGTCATTTTTCACATGTTCTTAAATTACTTGAAGAACCTGGATGGTGTTTTTTTATCCAAATATCTTCATTTAATATGGTATATACTTGATTTCCACAGGAAATAAGCAAACTTCTGCTTCTATAGTTGATGTTATTGGTTCATGGTCCTTTTGAAGTATAACAATATAGCTTAACATTTATCTCCTCGAGTTTATAAATGTCATGCCTGCTTCTTGTCTATTGAATGGAATTTGATTGCTCCAGCCATAATGAGGGGTTCTTGTATGCTCCTTCTGATCTGCTCCTCTGAATATTTGTCATTCTTTTCTCACAATAAACTAGGAAAAAAAAAAAAGGAACCTCCATCTTATATCATCTTACTACATGACAAAACATATAACATAAATACTTTTTATTTTTTTGGTAAATAACATAAATACGTGTTCCATGTACACCGGATAAACATTTATATTTTCATCAAACATCTCATTAACAAAACTACTGACAAGAACAAAGAATTTTTTTTTTTCCGTTTCGCATTACCATCTTGTTAAAGTACAACACAAGACGTACATAAACACCAAAGTTCATGACTATGATATTAAACAAAGAAACAAATCATATGGTTGCCAAAATTCAACATTAATAAATTATATCATCAATAGCAACAAAATAAAATCATTAAGAAAAATAAGACATACATTAGATTAACCAAAACATAATTTGTCCTCCGAAATATGGTCAGTATAATCATCTCTTAATTGCAACCACAGTGGCACCAGATGGGGACATTGAACAAGTACCTACAAAGTATAAACAAACAAAAGAAATTATTTATGAGATAATTTTTATGTCACAAACTACTCAAGTAGTGTAAACTATTTGCCCCATTCTTACAAGCTGTTTTGAGTTTTGAATTACTAAGTGGTGCAAGTAGCATAATCTGTACTATCTAGTTTTGCCTTCTTGAAGTATTCCAAACAACTACAACGGATGTCAATTTTCCTTTCCTAGGTGGAACATGAGTTGGATTAATTGCAAATAATGTGTGTAATTCACTTAGCCTATTAATGAGACTAGCCACTCTTTATATACATGTAGATGGAGTACATGAAACCTTAAATTAGGGAGTACATCAAGCCTTAATTTAATGAGTAAAGCAAGCCTTAAATTAAGGAGGAAAGCAAGCCTTAATTTAAGGAGTAAAGAAAACGTTAAATTAAGGAGAAAAGTAAGATAAAATAAAGAAAAAAAATAAAGACTAAATTATTTCCAGCAACCCCCCTCAAGCTGGAGCAAATATGTTGACCAAGCCCTATGGAAGACTGAAGAAGAGAAGGCACAAAAATAGGACTAACAATACTTGACCGAACCTTTTCTCGAATGAAGTGAATGTCTAACACGGAGTCGGAAGCAAGCATAATGGCTGATTTATTGTCACAAAACAGCCTTAAGGAATCTTTCTCTACAAAACCCAACTCCCACAGAATTGATTGAAGCCAAAGGAGCTCACAAATACCTTGAGCCATAGGTCGGTACTCAGCTTTAGTAGAGGATCTGGAGACAACAACTTGCTTCTTACTCTTCCATGATATGAGATGATTACTATAGAAAGCACAGAAGCCAGAGGTAGACTGTCTATCTGTCTTACACCCAGCATAGTTTGCATCAATAAAGCATGAGAGTCCTGCCTAATTTCCAGAGGCATAGAATAGACCAAGGCTAGGGCATGAGTTAAGATACCTCAAAATATGATAGATTGCACCCACATGAGCTGAGCGCGGGGCATGCATGAATTAACTAACCATACTAACAGCAAAGGTCAAATCAGGCCTTATGTTAGTCAAGTAGATAAGACGACCTACTGGACGTTGATACACACTGACTTAACATGTAGTTTGAGATTGGGGTCCATATGAGTAGAAGCGGGTCGACATCCAAGCATGCCAGTATCTTGAAGAAGATCCAAAGGATACAAAAATAATAATAATAAATAATAATAATAATACATGTACAAAGATTAAACTACAAAAAGATACAAAAAAAATAAAAAATAATAATGTATACATTATATGTTCAAAATAGTACGGATCTCAAATAATAAAGCGGCAAATTAATTGGAAAATGAATGATCTGAAAAATAGAAAAAGCAAACCTCTCCCGCGTTTGGAATCAGATAATGGCTTCTGGGTGGTGAACCATTGAGTTTCCAACTTCTGGATTCCTTTGATTTCGAAGGTAAGCCTTTCAACCAAAAGCGAAGAACATACATTATTATCATCATCAGCAGCAGCAGCAGCATTGGGTGGGTTTTGAATCTCAATGGTGATGAGGACTGGATCACCAGGTCTATACACATCTTTATCTGTCTGTAATTTCAGCAATGACGGAGGACCCTTCACTTTTCTCTCTCTTCGAATCACCACCTCCACCAACGGACCAGTGGCCTAGTGGTATCAGCCTTTTACTTTCCAGAAAGGAGGTCAGGGGTTCAAGTCTCAGAAGAGACGTGTGTGTGAGTACCAACTAGGAAAAAAAAAAAAAAAATCACCACCTCCTCCTCCTCCAAAGAAGGAAAATCCTCGAGGAGGCATTGACTTTCACCTTCCCCTTTTCTCTTTTGCTTTGTTGTGACTTGGAATTTTGCGAGTTTGATTTAGAATTTTGGGTGTTTGATTGATGGATGATTGGACCCTAATAAGTCATCGTTGTTTGGTAAATCTATTTTCCGATATCGGTTGGTGGAGATCACTACAACTTTGTCACTCGTCAGCCTCTTCAACTGGAAAGAGTTCAATGTCCTAATAGAGCTCGGTTAGGGGATGATAGATCGTATAAATTTCATCTTTTGGAGTCGGCTTTCACAGCTTTACGAAAGATAGCGACTGAAAGAAAAAGGTATTTATATATATCACTTGTTAGGGCGTGAATCCTCTGAAATGAATTTTCCTGCTGTCCCCTGAAAGTAATAAGGATTGTGTATCAAGAGCTAGCTGAATTCGTACTTCATTTTGGTTATTCAATGAATCAATGCATTTAAAGAGCTTTGATAAGTGGTTGAGTAACTTATCAAAAAAAAAAAAAAAAATAGGTGGTTGAGTAATAACCGAGGTCAATTAAGCATAGAAATTTACCAACTAATCCAATTGCTTTAGCAGGGATGCTAATAGACAAGATCACGGGAGAATTTCTTATTAACCATCAGAATTTAATATGCAAATTCCTTGGATATCAGGAAACCAGATTATAACATTGGCTAGATAAGAAATAATATGTATGCATATATATGTATATATAAGTGCTGCTATACAGAACAGAATTGCATATAATGAGAGAGATATAATACATACCTTATAAGCAGGAGGCTGATGGAGTTATTTCTTTTAACCTTCAATTTTTTTTTTTTTTTTTACCATGTTTTGCGAAGCTGGCCAGTGGCCTATATACTTGTCCATTCATGTTATAACTGCAAGATATACTCTTACCCACATTCATAACCCTTCATTCTGTAAACCAACAATTTCTTTTATACAAATTTGAAAGAGAACTGTTATTTAGATTTTAGAGCACTATATGGATGGGACTCCTTTTGATCAACAAGAATTAGCAATATGACGTGCGTGAAAAGCAAGTAATCTGACAAATGGTTGGATGAAATGTGAACCATTGGTCATGTAAGAAGTTATTGATTAGTTTAGGAATATTAAAAGTTGATGTGGCAATACATGGTGCCATAGAAATTAGAAGGAATGCAGTTTTAGCCTTTTAGGACAAGTGTTTTTTTTCCCTCTTCTTAAGTGTGTTAGTTTTCCGGATTAAAATTTTTTCTTCTTTTCTTTTCCCTTTGTCAAAATTAAAAGGATTATTATTATGGCTTATTATGATAAAATAACGAGTTTTGGAGTGTTACCCATTTACTCCTTTGCGGGCTTAATATCAAAGTCATGAGAATGGGGTTTACCGTCTGCGGAGCTTATGAGATGACCTTTCATTCTTATCCCTTCTTTTTCTTAAATGAATTTCTCTGTTCTAAAATATCATCACAATCTGACATCTCAAAACTGATGGAGGGGCCTTAGAATAAGAGATGGCCAATTAAACCTGAGTGCATAATTTAAGAAAGATGCTGACTTTGCTGATGCAAAAGAATTTTTTGGTTTTCTGTAAGCTTGTTTCTTTTAGATTATTATTATAATAAATATTTGGTGCTCTCATCTTCGTATTATTTTGCACTTGGCATTTTGGTGTTAAATTTATTTAACTACTGCATATCTGTTTTTGTAGTGAGTCTTTACCCTTTGGTGAACAATATTATGTCACTCTTATCAGATTTCCTATTCTGCAAATGCTGACCAAGAAAATGTTTTCATCAAAGCATTCTTGTATCTGCAGATTTGGTGCGGATTTTTCTGCCAAGTGTTATACCACCATCATTCAGGGGTGTTACCATTCGTTATGTCTATTATGTTAGAAGTACATTAAATGGACATTATCTGATATTGGGGAATGGGCAAACTCACCAAGAGTCTATAAGAGATCTCGCTGAGCTGGTTCGTTTCCTTATATTGCTTAGTTGCTGTTATGATTTCTGAAATGATTTTTTTTTTTCTTTCCCCTGTAACTTTAATTATTGTCGCTGAGCTACACAGATGACTATTTGTAGATAGATTCTTTTATTTTTGATAAATAAAATGTATTAGAAAGCGTTCAAGAGGGGAAAACGCATCCCAAGATAAAAACACAAGACCAAATAAAAATACAAGCAAGTCAAATAAAGAGCCCTACGGACCCAGAGCACCCAAAAGGTCCACTATCTCATCTAGAGATATACAATTTCTTCCCATTACCCAACAAAAAAGGGAACTAATAATAGAAAATTTCAGCGTCCCAATAGGGGTTTCCTCCCCCTCAAAGGATCTTTTGTTGCGCTTTTTCCAAATGCTCCACCAAACACAAAGGGGAATCACCTTCCAACAATCCCGAGCATGAGCCCCAACCCTTTGGCCCCTCCAACTATCAATCAACTCCCTTGAAGACTGAGGCATAACCCAATGAATACCAAACAAACCAAAATAAGGCTCCAACCATCATAAGCCATAGGACAATGCAAAAGAAGGTGATCCATAGAATCTTGTGGAAGAGCTACCATCCTTAAAACTTTGATTTCTATTTTCCCATTTTATAAATTGTTCTCAGGAATGGATGTTTTCGGTGTTATTGCCTACTTTTTAAATTTTTTTTGAATGATCTGTAGGTGTGAGAAATAATGACTGTAGCTGCCATGTAAGACTCCTATTGAGCATTATTTGCCCAGTTATGAAGATTAATAGGCTTAAAGGGATGCATGTTAACCTAGAATTCTCAGTCAATCTTACTTATCGAGATAAAAAAAAAAAAGAAAAAAAATCTCAGTCGACTTATCGAGGGGAAAAAACAAATCTCAACCGATCTTTTGGAAGAAGTTATTAATGTATCTTTTGAAGTTATTGTTAGGAGAAGATTGATGGACGTTTTAATGAAAGTTTACTCATTTAATGGGAATATTGCATTTCATTTTTAATTTTGATAAAACCGTAAAAGCATTCCATAGGTTAGTATGCTCATTATTGTGCAGGATCGATACCCTAGGATTTCATACGCCTGCGTTCGCCTTAGATGAGAATTCAAACTTAACAGAACCCAAGATAAAAATCCTTGGGTAGCTCAAGTGAGGGGGAGCAGCAACTACAGCAGCCACAACAACAACAACAACAACTGTAACCATGGGCAGACTAAAGAACTAAAGGTTTATACAAGAAAGAACAAGGATAAGGAGGCGGGGACATTGCCTTGGCACTGCCCAATCCCTGAACCAGCTGCTGTCACTTCAGATTCCAATGAGATCTTGGAGAGGCCAGGTGAGTCCCCTAATGAGAGTTCTAATGATTCCCAATCTGATCTGGACATGCCTATTGCCCTTAGAAAAGGGAAAAGATCTTGTACTAAATATCCACTCTCCAACTATATTTCATACAAAAATCTTAACCCTTCCTTCAAAGCATTTTCTGCTAATGTTTGTCAAGAAAAGATTCCCAAGTCCATTCAGGAAGCAATGATGGATTCAAAGTGGAGAAAAGCTATGATGGAAGAAATGAGGGCACTCAACAAGAACAACACTTGGGACTAGCTGATTTGCCCTATGGAAAGAAGGCCGTGGGGTGTAAATGGGTGTTTACTGTCAAATTCAAGGCAGATGGCTCGGTTGATCGATACAAGGCGAGATTGGTCGCAAAAGGTTTCACACAAACCTATGGGTTAGACTACAAAGAAACCTTTGCACCCGTGGCAAAGATAAATACAGTTCGGGTTTTACTGTCCATAGCTGCAAACTGAGACTGGCCGACACACCAACAGGCCAGTGGCCTAGCGGTACCAAACCCCTACTTCTCAAAGAGAGGTCAGGGGTTCGAGCCTCAATGGAGGCATGTGTGTGTGAGTACCAACTAGGAAAAAAAGGAGATCACACGATGTGTTACAAACACAAAGGAGGAGAGAAGGTAATTGTACTAATTGTGTATGTCGATGACATCATTGTGACTGGTAATGATGACACCAAGGTGGATGACCTAAAGAAGTCTCTTGCAAAAGAATTTGAGACTAAGGAGATGGGAAATCTGAGGTATTTCTTGGGAATAGAAGTTGCAAGGTCAAAAAAAGGAATATTTCTGTCACAATGGAAATATATCCTCGATTTGCTTAAGGAAATCGGTCTATTGGGATGCAAACCAGAAGATGCTCCTATTGACTTCAAACACAAACTTGATGGTATAAGCACAAACCCAATGGTGGAAAAGGAGAGGTACCAACGATTAGTTGGAAAGCTCATTTACTTATCCCATGCTAAGCCTAATATTGCATATGCCATGGGAATTGTCAGCAGGTTCATGCACGCTCCTAATTAAGACCATTTGAACGCTGCATTAAGGATCCTAAGCTATCTCAAGGGCACTCCAGGAAAAAGGAATTTTATTCTCCAAAAATGGGAATATGGAGATTGAAGCCTACACCAATGCAGACTGGGGAGGATCACTCAGACGCTCTACTTCAGGGTATTGTACTTTGTAGGAGGTAATTTGGTGACATGGAGGAGTAAGAAGCAAACTGTTGTGGCTAGATCAAGTGCTGAAGCTGAGTTCTGTGCAATGGCTTTGAGAATTTGTGAGTTACTTTGGCAGAAGTTTATTTTAAAAGAACTGAAGTTGGAAAGCAGTAATCCTATGAAACTCTACTGTGACAACAAAACAACCATTAGTATAGCACACAATCCAGTACAACATGACAGAACAAAACATGTTGAAATCGACAGACTTTATCAAGGAGAAAATTGAAGGAGGCCTAGTTTGTATTCCCTACATCCGATCGAAAGAACAACTACCTTGACTAAAGGTTTGGCTAAAGGACAGTTTCTGGAGTTAATTGGCAAGCTGGGCATGACTGATATCTACACGCTGGCTTGAAGGGGAGTGTGGAAAAACAGATCACGAGAAAATATGGGATTCTAGGCGCGGTTGACCCCAGGATTCAGATCCAATTTATTCAGAATTATTCCTTGAATAAATTGGAATGATTCCTTCCCATTTTAGTCTCTGATTCCAGCAGTTTGAAAAAACACGTGTGGGACCAAAAAGAAGGCCACACGTGAGGGGTCGTGTTGAAGTATTTATATATTTAAGTTGCACCCTCTTTAACAGCTTAAGCTTTTGGTGTAGATGGTTGTTAACAAGTATGTATAATGTTAAAGGCTGTGCAAGATAAGTAGTCTTGTTTAAGCATATCGAAACCAAGAACTTGAACAGCCATGGAGGCAAGAATATGAACAACTCGGCTAAGTGCATCAATTGCCTTATTCTCAACACCAGCTTTATGTTTGATGACGAATGAGTACTCTTGCAAGAATGAAACCCACTTCCCATGTCGGTGGCTTAGCTTCTTTTGAGAGTTAATATATTTGAGGGCCTTGTTGTCGGAATACAACACGAACTCCTTAAAAAGATGGTAATGACGCCAGTAGCGAAGTGCTTGAATCACAGCATAAAATTCTCTGTCATAAGTAGAATACCTTTGTTTTGCTTCATTAAGTTTCTCACTAAAATATGCAACTAGATGTCCTCCTTGACTGAGCATGCCTCCAATTCCAACCTATGAAGCATCACAGGCAACTTCAAACACTTTTGAGAAGTCCGTAAGGCGCAAAATAGGAGCTGCAGTCATTTTTTTCTTCACTTCTTCGAAAGCCTGTGCTGCTGCCTTTATCCAAACAAACTGGTTGTTTTACATACAATTGGTGATAGGGGCCATTATTGTGCTGAAATTTCTATTAAATCACCGATAGAATGAAGCTAGCCCATGAAAACTCTGTGTTTCCTGCAATGTGCTGGGAATTGGCCAATCTAGAATCGCTTTCTCTTTATCAGGATCAGCTTCTACCCCTTTGGAAGAAACAACGAAGCCCAAAAACACCACACTCGGCAACGTGAACACTTCTTCATGTAAAGCTTCTCTTGGCGAAGAACTCTCATAACTTGTTGAAGGTGGGAAATATGTTCCTCCCTCGTTCTGCTGTAGATTAAAATATCATCCAAGTAAACAGCCAGAAATCGACCAATAAAGGGCTGCAATACCTGAGTCATGAAGCGTATAAATGTACTTGGGGCATTGGTGGCATAACAAGCCACTCGTAGAGTCCATCTTTTGTCTTGGAAGCTGTCTTCCATTCATCCCCGGGCCTTATGCGAATTTGATGGTAGCCACTTTTGAGATCTGCCTTTGAAAATATACAAGAACCAGCCACCGTGTCTATCAAATCATCGATTCATGGAATAGGAAACCGATACTTGATTGTAATTTTGTTGATGGCGCGACTGTCAACACACATGCGCCAACTACCATCCTTCTTTGGCGTGAGCAAAGCTGGGACAGCACAAGGACTTAAGCTTTCATAGATAAATCCTTTGGACAATAGCTCATTAACTTGCCTCTTAAGCTTGCCATGCTCAATTGGATTCAAACGAGAAGCTGGAAGGTTAGGCAATGGAGACCCCGGTACAAAGTCGATCACATACTGGATATTAAGTAGAGGAGGGAGTTCATTAGGGAGATCCTTGGGAGACAAATCTGAGAAATCTGACAGCCAGTTGGCGATGTCTGATGGCATCGAAGAATCATGAACAATAGCAGTTTCTTTGATTTTCCTTGCTACAGCAGCATATATAACACCCGTCTCTTTACTTTCCCAATTGAAACCTCTTCTTGGAAAGGAGATTGAGGGATTTTTTTCTTGCTTTTCGCATCATCTACAACCTGTCCACCTTTATATTTCTCCATTTCAGCTGAAGACATAGGCTTCAAAATAATTTGCTTGTTGTTAAACAAGAAAGTGTATGTATTCTCCTTCCCACAATGATACACATCTCAATCATAAATCCAAGGCCGCCCAAGGAGAATATGTGTCATTTTCATGGGAATTACATCACAACAAACAGAATCATTATAAGCTCCACAAGAGAAAGAA